CCCGAGAAAACAAGATAAAAACAAAACAAAAAAAAAACCAAAACACCCGGAGGGTGACCCAAGCCACCACAAAATTAAGGGGGGAAAAATTCAAACAAAATTGGATCCTGACGGAGGAGAGGGGAGCGGCGACAGAAGGAGGAAGAAGGGGAGGAGGGGGGCAGTCCTCCCGGAGCTAAAACTCGAGAATCGCCCTTAAAAAAAAAAGGCCACGACCCTTTAGGGGTCCGGGGGGCGTTGCCCGCTCCCCACCCCGCGCCAAGGAGGGAAACCACCACCGGTCGCCGCTCCCAGCGCCGCCGCTGCCGCCACCGGCTGCAGCTCCAGCCGTCCGGTCCGCCCGCTTCTCCCCTTTATATAGTGAGCCAACGAGCTGCGCGAGCCGCCGCTGCCGCCGCCGCCTCCGAGAGACAGGGCGGAGGGGGAGGGAGGGGCGGAAAGGGCGGGGGCAGAGGTGGGCGGGGCTGAGCGCGAGACACCGCGAGAACCGCGTGCGCAGGCGCGCCGGGGCGGAGGCTGCCGCGGATCGCGTCATCACGCGCCGTGGAGAGTGTTGGGTGGGCGGGGCCAGGGATTTGAGTAGAGAAGTCTGACGGCCGCCTCCCCAAGTCTCGCGTAATCACGTGGTTGGCACCCAGGCGGAAGTCTCCTGCCACTGCTTTGGGATGAGGAACTTGCAAAGCATTGCTGGAAGAGGCGTGAGTTCTTGTGACACTTGAGGCCAAAGCTAGTTGGGACCGCCTCCTGTCGGGCGTTTATTTGCTGTCCCGCGCTGGAGAGGGGCTAGTAAATGTGGAAGGGGTGGTGGCGACAGCCTCGCTAGGAATGGCCGCGGAGGAGGCTCGGTCACGTGGCACAGTTTCCGGCCCCTGGCGCGTTCGGACTAAGGGCAGTTTTAAATGCGGAGTCATCCGTGACCGCTCAGGTCGGACTCCGCGTTTCCAGGCGTTAGTGCCTGTTGCTGAGGGTGGGCCTTTTGCTTGCAAAATTGCGTACGAGTTCCTGAAGGATGGAAGCTGATTTGGGACCCCCATTAGCACATTCCAAAATTAATAATCCCTGAAGTCAGCTGAGTTATCTGTCTCCACCAGTACAGCTACAGAATCTGTTGGTTTCCGTTCCCCTAAAGAACTACTAAATGACTTCTTAAGGTGGTAGAAATGACAAAAAACAAACCACCACCGAGTTTATGACAGCACGACTTTTCCTGGTTTTTTAAAATAATGCCAAAATTCGGTGACTTTATGTGGCCAGCACATTCTGACTAACCTGTGAAATACCTTCCCTTGACTCACCAACTCACATGGTCTCTCCTTGCGAAAAGAGCAGGCAGAACACGTCCATGTCTTGCAGTGTAATTCAATAGGCGTTTGACCTGCTCTGCTAATCCCGCTTTTGTATCGGTATTTCTCGCAGAACAGAGACTGCTCTGTTTAGAAGGCAGAGCTCACAGTACCTAATTTTCTTGTCCTGAGGAATTTCTAGAGACGTGGAATGTAGTCGGTACAAGTGAGGGAGTTTATCCTCAAAAGTCAAAGCAAAACAAAATGTCAAAGTTCTATGCCTCTGAAGCCAGATTTGAGGACTATCAGTTGCTTCTCAGTTCCTTGCACCGTGGGATGTTGCGGGGGCCGGGGACAGTGAAAGAGAAAAGCAAACAAACGAAATCATAGTGTTTCTTTGTTATATAAACTTACCATTCTATCAACATTTGTAATTGATTTAATATTCTGGTGACTGTTAGCCCGGAAAGTTGTACTAAACAGCTTTCGCTTCATGTAATTTTAAGAGAATTGGTTACCACCTTATATGAGTACCTACTGTTTGTACATGGATTCCCTCACCTTCCACCTCATTTTCTTCTCTTCCGCTTGATATTATTACTAAATGATCAAATGTTTTGCTATCAGTGAAGATTAAGATCAGTGCAAACAGGACAGGGGACAGAATCTATGAGATTTACGCTCCACAGAATTATTCCTGAGCGGATTGATGACAGGTGTGTTTTGATTGGGTGTGACCTATGAAATAATGGGATATACTTATTGGATTGAAAAGGGAGAAAACTCAGTCCTAGCCTCGTTAAGACCTTCAGACTCTTTGGAGGCTCTGAGTCAGCCTCTCTTTACAAACTCTAAATTACAACAAGTAATATTTACCTAGATTTCTTTGGTGGTTCCATATAAATTTTTTAGGATTATTTATTCTAGTTCTGGAAAGAAAGTCATGGGTATTTCGATAAGGAGTGCATTAAATTTGTAGTGCTTTGGATAATATGGCAATTTAGCAATATTAATTCTTCCAATCCAAGAGCATGTGATATCTTTCCATGTATTTGAATCATTTCAGTTTCCTTTATCAAGTGTTTTATAGTTTTAGCATATAAGTCTTTCACCTCCTTGGTTAAGTTTATTCCAAGGTATTTTATTTTTTGATGTGGCTTTAAATGGGATTGTTCTTTTTACTTCTGATATTTCATAGTTAGTGTAAAGAAATGCAACAGATTTCTCTATATTAATCTTGCTACCTTGCTGAATTCATTTATTCGTCCTAACAGTTTTTGTATGGAGACTTTAGGATTCTCTATATAGGGAAGTCACGTCATCTGTAAACAGTGACAGTTTTACCTCTTCACTTCCAGTTTAGATGTCTATTTCTTTTTGTTGTCTGATTGCTGTAGCTAGGACTTCCAATATTGCATTGAGTAGAAGTGGTGAGAGTGGGCATCCTTGTCTTGTTGCTGAATTTAGGAGGAAAGCTTTCTGCTTTTCCTTGAGTATTATGTTGGCTTTATCATAAATGGCTTTTATTATGTTAAGATATGACTGTTCCCTCTATACCCACTTTGGTAAGAGTTTTTATCATGAATGGATGTTGAATTTTGTCACATGGTTTTTTTTGCATCTGTTGAGATGATATCGTATGGTTTCTGTCTTTCCTTTTGTTAATGTGGTACATCAAATTGATTTGCATATGCTGAACCACCCTTGCAACCCTGGAATGAATCCAACTTGATCATGCTGTATGATCCTTTTTATGTTTGCTAATATTTTTGTCGAGGATTTTTGATAACTCAAAGATAGTGACCTGTAATTGTCTTTTTTGGTAGTGTCTTTGGTTTTGATATGAGGGTGATGGTGGCTTCGTAGAATGAATTTGGGAGTGTTCCCTCCTCTTCAGTCTTTTAGAATAGTTTGAGAAGGATAGGTATGAGTTGTTGTTTGTATGTTTGTAGAATTCTCCAATGAAGCTGTCTGGTGCTGGACTTTTGTTTGCAGGGAGCTTTTTTATTATGGATTCTATTTC